CATATACAATTGTACTTGTTAAATTTTCTTCCATGTAATCCCTTTGTCTCCTTGTTTGGAACTTATCAATCCGAAAATTCACAACTCTATCGAAATGTGCTCAAAATCCCTTCAAAATGTGTCCCCTTCAAAAATTGGGATGGCTCAACTTGCACCAAGAAACCCCCTTGAGGGCATTCCTGGTTTGGCCTGCAAAACAACTACCACAATTTGCACATCATTCTTTTCGTTTTGCTGAAAGTGTTTTGCTGTTTTTTATGTTTCGGATAGTGATTGTAAAAACGAGAAAATACGGATAGATGGAGTACGGACAAAAATATAAAATTTGTGGAGTTATATTAATACAACTTATGGAATTGTTTGGAAACCTTTGCATCCAATTCCTGGCCCAAATCGTTCGGTTGTTCTTTTTATTTTTCTCAACACATTCAGCTCCAAGCATAAACTATTTGTGAAACCACTTTTGTAACAATATGAACTGTAACGAAACTTGCATTTTGCGACAAGACTGAATAAAAATACAGAACAACATTTGCGAAGAACTGGAGCGAGTACACAGGTGCAGTAATTGTCTACTTTTACGCTACTTGCACTTGTGTGATCGGGCGAGGCGAGTCGAGCTACTGTCACGCGAGTACACAGATGCAGTATCTGTCCACCGTCAGGTCAGCAACTAGCATTGTGAAACTAGTCCCTTTAACGAACCAATCTAAGCGACTGTCACGGAATCCATTTTACACTATTAAAAATGTTTTATACAAATGAGATATTTTTTCAAAAAAAAATATCTGGTGTGTCCACTCACACCACTTTCCTGCCTATTTCAGAAAAGTTTTTATACGTTTACATATGGTCATGAAGAAACAAAAAAGAATTGAACTAGATTTATTTTCCTGAAAATGGATCAAACAAAAGATTTCTTTGATAAACTAAAGCAATGTAAACCGGCTTACGGTAGATCAGTGTAAACATTTCAGTACTCACTAATATTGCTGATCAAAAACTTTTTGCCATAGCTTAGTATTGTCAAACAATAATTTCTGTTAAAAGTAGAGGAAATAGTGAAGATTGTATGATGCAGGCAACACATTTTCTAATTTTCACTTAGTCATCTTTATTCTCTCATTCTCCCCTTTCTGACATCAGGATATGAACCCGTAATCTTACATTGTAAATTGAATAGCTGTAACTTCGTTAATAGTTGTCCAAAATGAATGACGATTTTTTTATTTTGTTGGTAATTTAATTACCTTTCAAAATTTTTATTACAAATTTTACCGTATAATATATACTTAGGGAGTTAGGCCCCATAATAACATTTTTCTTTTCTTTATAACTTTTTATACTGATTTTTTTCAGGAATTTAGTCTATATACAAAAATTGAAAGGACAATGATTAGAACATTATCGGAAAGTTTCATCAAAATCGTTACAGCCGTTATCGCGCTACAGTCAATAGAAAATCATGTTTTTTTCATTTATTGCACGCAAGCTATTGCGCATGGAGCACCGAATTTCTGTCACAGGCATCAATAGTCAAAATTCTACAAAATAAAAAAAGAAGCAACAAAATCGGTTCGTTAGTTTCCGAGAAAATCTTGGCACAGACAGACCAACGGCTAAAATTGTGTTTTTCGGACTCAAGAGGCTCTGAAATGTATAGATCCGTAGAAAACCGCATATCGGAAATTTGACCCGATTGCAATACTTTCCTTACCTAGTATAGGCAGGAAAGTAAAAAAAGATAAATGCAAACCGATTAAACATGCAACTACAGTCAAATTGATATAAAGTTCCCGCTTAATTTTAATAATTTTATCGTTAATCCTGCAGAGTATTGTGAAATCTTCTTGATAGGATTAATGCATGGTAATTCCTTATGACCAGTCACATACCTGTTATTACTTCAGGCTCAAAATTGTTTCTTTAATCTGCAGTTTTTAGGTAAAATTCAATGTGCGCCTGTTTTGTTTTTTTAACAACATTTTATACACATAAACTTTTGAATTTTTATATTGCCGGAATCCTTTTTTTTTAGGACTTTTCCACTACTTTGGTTGTCCTTGACCTAAATATTCTTTAAGATGTTTTTGATTCTTCTCTATCCAAGGCTTGTTGTTCTATGATGTCATGACTCGCCAGGCTTTCTTCTACCGCGTTTTTCCATTTTACCCTTGGTCTTCCCTTTTTTCCTTCTCCCTTCTCCATCCAGATCCATACCCATCCTTGACAATCTTTTAGGCGTCATACTTTTCACATGTCCAAGCCAGCATATCCTTTTATTTTCAATATTTACTAAAATGATTTTTTCTACCCCAAAATTTCCAGAATTCTTTAATTTTTGAACCTTTCCCTTCTGGATTTTCTTGCTGCTCTTCTACAAAAGTCCATCTCAATTGCTAACAGTCTGTTTCGGTGTCTTGCATCGATGAACCAAGTCTCCGAGTCATATGTCGTAATTAAATATTAATTTATCTATGTTTATACTATGAGTAAGAGTTATGATATTCTTACTTTTCTACGGGAAAGCGAACCATTGCTCATATAAACATTTTTGTAGCTCTTGAGGTCTGCTATCGCTCCATTTAAATATTTTCCTCCCCTCTATTTACTGAATACTCTCTAGAGGAAAATGTTTAATGGAGCGAAAGCAACCTCAAGAGTTACAAAAAAGTTTTTATAAACAATGGTCCGATTTAGAATTGTCTTGTAGACCAGTAATTTGTTGGCAATAGAAAGTTGAGATTATCTATTCAGTAGTCTATATAGTTGACCATATCATCGTTTGAGCTCTTTTCTTTTAATTATAGAATGTGGGTTCTACGTTACTCTTCGGGTCTAATAGAAAACTAAGATACCGGACTGTTTCTGGATGGAATTAAAGTGGACGGCTGGACAGGATTCGGGTCAGAGCGTAAAGGTTACGTGTTTGCATTTGGATTCATATAAAAGGAAAAGACTCGAAAAGAAGAGGCTGCCATTAATTAACACTGGGAGTATAGCTTAAAATTTTTTATTTTATTTTTTTTTTTTTCATAGATTGAACAATTTTTATTGAGAAAAAAATACATTTTGCCTCAATTAAGGGCATTGAGTATTTATGATGAATGAAGTACAATCATACCATATATACAATAAAAGAACAACAAGATTATAAGAAAATAAAATAAAATAAAACTTGGAGTAACAGAATAAATCAAACATGATACAACATTAGATAAAAACTAAAAAAAAAAATAATAATAATAAACAAAAACACACTCAAACTCAAGCTTAAAATTAATAAAGGTATCCAACCTCAGATTTAAACATTCGTGCGCTTGTCTGTCAAATAGATTTCTTCAAACTCATACAAGTTTGGACAAACGATCTCTTTTACAGACTAATCAAACAAAAAGAATATTTGACTAACACATCAAAGACACATTTTAAAAATTTTGCCGTTTATCAAATTATTTATAATATATAATTACTCTTACCCTTGTTCTTTTCTACTCATAGTTAAAGTCCACATTGTTATTTAAAACATAAAATTATGTACAAAATTGTATACTGACTTATCTCAGAAAAAAAATTAATTAATAATTTCAGACATTCGTTTTAACAGAAAAATCATCCTGACCCATTTATGGGAAAGGTTATTTTTTTTTCAAGTTCAATAAAAGCTATGACTTTCTGTCCTACAGTATTCTTTAACAATACCCACTTATTCCTGTTGAACTAATCCAATGCCAAGCACTCCACCTGGACAAACGACTCACTTGGAATCCTCATACCAGACTGAAATGACAAGAAACCGCCCGATGTTTGGGATAGTGTTGCCCAAAATCGCTCTTGTTCTGGTACTTTGCAAGACCAAGATCAGGACTGGTAAAAAAAATTCGATTTATTGAATAAAAATTAAGGCAAAATAGTTACTAATACTTGACAGTCTTAGTTACTATATGTAAATAATTGATATAACCTATATACTTTTGCATTTAACTCCTCTAATTTTCCATTCGGGCTTAGTTAGGTTTCTCCTATCTAAAAAATTACAGTAATATCTATGTAGTAATAAGCTAATAAGTAACTGCAAGACTGTTGTGAGACTCTTGCGCAAGATCAAGACCATGACCAAGACTGAGTTTGCAAGACCAAGACTCGTCTCGATCTCGCATTTAGACAACACTACTAGGCAAACGCTCTAAACATCCAATTACTAACAAAAGACTCATATATATTACTATAATAAGGGACTTATGAGACCTATATGGACCTATATGGACTTATGAGATCGAGCTTTGGGGCTTTAATTAACCATCAAAATCAAATTCCTTTCGTGCCCAATCCTTACAATCCAAAATTCTCAATGCTTTCTACTTTATCACAAATAAAATCATCCATAACGACCTTAATGTACCATAAGTTTCCGATTCAACTCAATCCAGATACCTATCCTTCCATAATACACTTCTGAACCATCCGCACCCTCTTGTTTCTGACCATGCTTCCTCTTCTATTCCTGAAAAGAAGATGGCCTCGGGCCCTCTAATATAAAACTATGATTAGAGTGCTACCAATGGGTAGTTTCTCTTCATGTTGTACATATCATGTTAGTAATTTCATATTTACTTGTAGTATTTTTCATATAATACAGTTGTAAATTTTAATAAATTGTTTAAAAAAAAGTTGAATAAAAAGCGTTTTATTTTAATCTATAACTAATAACTATTATTCAGCCACATCGAAATAAAAATTTTAAAAAATAAAAAAAAATATTGGAGATGTAATGGAATTCGGAAAGTAATTTTAAGGATTTTTCTAAATCATTAATATTATTTTGAAAACCATCTCAATATATTATTAGGAATATTTCAAGAATTCTATCAATGATATAAATTACATAAGTATGTACAATTAAAATTATTCAATTCATGAATAATATATGTATATTAAAATTATGAATTAATGATCTGAAACGGCATGAATGACAATAATAAGTGTTCAAGATTGCAATGCTCCATAAAAGACAAATGGCATTGGAGCTTTACAGCCGATTGTGTCCATTTCTTTACTGAGGTAAGTGGAAAAAAATACTATCTTAGTTATTAATTATGTTTTAAAATGCGTGTTTATTTTTTAAAGAATGATTAGTTCAGGACCAAAAAAAATACAAGTATATATATATATTTATTGAACATATTAATTCAAACGTATTCTTATTCAGTCAATATATATGTATATATATATATATATATATATATATATATATATATATATATATATATATATATATATATATAAAAACTTATTAAAAACATAACATGATTTTTTAAGAAAATATTTTGTCGAAAATATGGTTGAAAGTCGACCGTAATCTTAATAAAAAATTGAGAAAAACCTATACGAATTTGCATGTTTTCATTATTTTTTTTTTCTACTCTTATACATCCGTCCATACAATTTGATTTGAACATACAATACAAAATAGTTCAGTACCATTTATGTACATTTTGAGTTTTTCGCAAATAAAATTTTGGAGAATTATGTCATATGCATACATTGAATGGGCTTCAAGGAGAACACTTAATCCATGTTTCATTAAAATCTTTACAGACATTTTGGCGCAATAGTCTATAGCGACACATGTTTTTCATTCGGCATTTCGAAACGAAAGACCGGATGGTAATGGCATGTATAAAAAAACACTCATGAATTTGATTGCAAAGTTTTATCAAAATTTCAAAAGAATCGGTAAAGAACTTTCAGAAATCAATGGTTTTGAACAAATTAAATTTAAATTTTCATCTATATATACTGTTATCTATGTTTATACTCATAACTAGAGACCAGATTTCCATATTATTGTACATTTTTTTTCACTTGCGGATAAAAAGTTCAAACTCGAATATCTATTCGTTTCACCATCTGTAGAATAACATATTGAAATTTTACAATGCAGGAAATTACACAATATACCGCTTTTTGTCTAAATTGCACGGTTTTTATTTTTGTTGCTTTAAATTGCACATTTTTCCTGCTAGATTAAATGATTTATTTATGTAAATATTTACTTTTTTTATTTTACTATATGAGGCATGTTTTATTTATAATTTAAGATAGAAAAATGTGAGATAGGTAAATAATTGTGTAACTAGCAATGGTCGAATTTAACAATTTAAAAGGAAGAAATAAACACAAATTGTGAATATTCTTGGAATAGAACTACCCTAAAGTAATGGATAACTGTCTTCCTAGAATATTATATTTAGTTAGAAAGACATTTATTGTTTTGAATTACTTCTCAATCATTCTTCAGCCCCAGTAGAGGATCCAAGATTTAATTTTCATGGGAGGGAGGAGGCTTCAGCCCGAAATCTTTTTTTTTCATATGTATATAACGATAATTAGTGCACTCATAGTGTAGTGGCTAGCATCCTAGTCTACGATGATGAAGATTCCCAGTTCAAGGCTGGTTCATCATATTCCTTTTTGAGGAGGCGGAGTGGCCGAACGGGGTAACGTTTGTGCACAGCACCACCGTAACCAAAGCCGGAGAAAATAAAATTACGAGTTCGCGTCTCGGTGCCTAGGGGTCTTTTAAATATATGAAGTGGTGTTAAAGTGATTCTTGATGGCCTATTAAATGTAATTACACGAACATTAATACTTTAGGAGATATTTTATTAAAATTTTTTACCATAAAACATGGTTCCATTTTATCATTTTGGGGGGGGGGGCTTCAGCCCTAAAGCCCCTCTACTCTCACCCCCGTAGATCCGCATGTGTTCAGCCCTTAAGTATCCCTTTCGACTTTGAAGTGAATTGTAGTAATTTCATTATTATAAAAAATGAAAAATTAATAATGGCGAAAGTAGAACCTCGATCTAGGATCTTGTCAAAAATTAATATGCTGATATCAACTAATGCCGAATTGAAATTTGATGGGAAAGTTTTCTTCTATATGGCCTACGAAAAATCAAGTGTGATAGGAAATCACAGATAGACGCACATTGTAGAACAGGAATAAAAAAAATATTTCTATTATAATTTTTTTTTAGAAACTGCATAAGCTCCAAAAATATTTGTTTCGAGTTCTAGAAAAACAGTATCAACACTAATATTTGGACATTTGAGAATCACAAATACATATCTAAGGTTTACTAAAAATTTTAAAGGAATTTCATTTTCAATGTTAAATTTTAATTTTTTTCTTCCTCTTTACAGATTATTTTAATTTAGAAGATAATACACTGCTTTATCAGATTTCTATGTATTAATAATAAATTAAACAAACAAAATATGTGTTGATTACATATTTTTATATATGTTTTGTTTTATTGCACGATTTTGCAAATTTTGAGGGTTTTGCTGCACGTTTTTGAATTTTTATTGCACGAAGATCCGGTCTGTAATGACAACACTAAAGTTCGTCAATAGCTTCCAAAGAAAAAAAAAGAAAATCGGTGATGAAACAGAGAAGGAAAAGTACTGAACTATTTTGTCTTTGCCAATTGATGGTAAATGTACCAGTAATATACGGTTTTCAATTCATTAATAAATAATAAAATTTATGAAATTATGAAGTGTTAATATTTAGAGATGTTGATTTTTTAATGAAGGAAGGCTAGATATTTGTTTAAGGAACGATTCCTAATCAATTTTCATTGGGAGATAACATTGAAATTTGTATTCATTCATCTGTAGTTTGCCATTTTTTAGTTTAAAACAGTGTATTAAATTTATTTTATTTTTTTGTTATACAAAAAAACTTGTTGACCCCTAAATCTGGATGTCTATTACTGGTGCAATATACCCTGTCAGAATTTCCAAATCATTTACGAATAATAAACTAATTGGCTTTACAAAAAAAAAAATACTATCAATAAAAGACTAAATTTCCATTCAATTAAACTCATTTGCAAAAGATCCACCTGTCAGAGATGAGGTTAGAGTTCACAATAATGTTGAAAACGCTCTTAAAGTGCCTATTACCGAAACATTTACCAAATGTAATGGTTTATTTAATTTTTCAAAAACAGCGATAAACTTTGTCACAAAAGCCATAATGCAAAAGCCTGCAAGTACAAATATTAATATTTTTCATATAATTAATAATTCGTATTTTATGACCTATATTTTTCGTTCAATTTTTACTGCTTAAGATATAGTTGTAATATTTTAAATAACATTTTTTTTTTGTATTAGTGAATATGCACGAGGACATAAAGGAATAGAAAAGCTCAAAACCAAACATTAATATAATATTGTACTTACAAATTTTTGAAGTATGGCTGTCCATTCATTATTTCGTATATACTTTATATTTTTTTAAATTAATTATTTGATGTACCTGTTTCATTGCAAATGATACTACAAATTTTCTAATAATTTATTATTTCTAAAAAAGAAAAATATTTAAGATGAATTCTGGGGAGAAAATACTTTAGAAAAACAATCTATTTTCGACTCATTTTTAGGCTGTTTTCATGTTTCTTACAACTTTAAACATTTTATTTATTGATTTGAAAAACGGTGAATAAGAAATTTTAAGATTTAAAAAAATAAATAATTTTGTCAATTTCGCAATATTGAAAAGGTTCCCTGTACTTGTGAATTTATAACAATAATTTTGATAAAAACATTTCTTTCTCAAGTCAAAGATTAATACCCTTAAACAATTTTAAAACTCATTTTATTTTTTCTTTAATTTTAAACATATTTCGTGTCGATTTAATTTTTTCTCTGTTGTTATCAAGAGAAATTATTGCAACTAAAACATAAGGGAAATAATAATTTCATGGAAAAATAGAAATCACTGTTTTCTTTATGTGTCTGTTTCAATAAGAAAATATATTACCTTCATAAATCTGCAAAAGTCGCTTGATAACTATATTAATAACCACTTAGAAAGAATATGATACACTGCCATATTTATTCAACTTGTAAGTACATAGTGGGGATAAAAGTCTTTAAAAAATCGGATTATTAATATATAAGATTAAGATTGCACTTCTCAAAAATTAAAAAAAATCTCCATCTTTAGCTAAAAACATAGAATAAGAGTACGTATTGGAGGTAGGGTGAAAGATAAGAACCTTTCCACATTGAAGATGCATGCGTCCTGGATGGAGGATGCATGTGCGTCTTGCATCTTGATGAAAAAGCTTTCACACCCAGGATGTGCTTGCTTCTTGCATCTTATATATATATCCATTATCTGTGTTAATTTAGTACGTGAGTTTGAAAGATGAATAATCGATCACTCGACTCTTCAGGCGACGAAATTATAATTCTACCTTGTACAGTAAGAAGAAATCGATTATGGGAGCATCCATACTGAAATAATACTGGAGATTATAGTTCTGCTATGGTGGAAATTCCTGCCCCAATAACTGAATAACTATCGGATAATTCAGTACCACAGCGAACTTGAAAGGAGTTGTCAGAGAGGTAGGAGCGGATTATCAGACATAAGCATGAAATTTAAGGTAGATGGAATTTAAGCTTAAAGAGCAGTCCAGCGTGCCATACCAATCAAACTATGTACAGAAATGCAACCGAGCAATATTGCTTCTTTTCAAATGCTGAGCATATAGATAGACAGATAGAAAAAAAAACTTTATTCTGGGACTAAGTCCCTTCAGAATAACAATAATGTACAAAATAGTAGAATATTACTGGCCTAAACGTTTGAAACAATACATAAAATTGATAAAATAAAATAAAAAGTAAAGAAAACCTTAGGTGCACAAGCTATATACAATACAGATAAGACTATGTACAGAGCATTTAAAATTATGAACAAAACAATTAAAACTATGAACGAATCACTTGAACTATGAACAAAATTATATATAAGGGTTGAACAACATAAACATACCCTTTGAGAAATGAAGAACGAAAAAAAGATACAATGAGTTCATTTCATAAAATAAAAAAAAATAAAAAACTTTACTTGAATATATATATATAAATAAACAGTTAATTATAATTGAATAAAAAAAAAATCTATGTATTGAAATTCCTATGTCGATAGTAGGAAATGCATGTACTATCTCTTACCAAGTCTTATGGTTATATGATTGCTATTCAATAAATATATAATATTAATAGTTAGCTGGTATCTGACTGTTTTTGGAACAGGAATTGGAATAGGGGGTTTTTGAATGTGTATAGGGAAGAGGCATGTCGAATTTTGATCGGGAGGGAATTCCAAAAGTTGACAGAGCGGGCTATAAAGGAATTTCGGAATGAGGCAGATCTATGAGAAGGGATGTACAGGTCAGAGGGTCGGGATGTTGTAGTGAGGGAATGGATTGAGGACTTTAATTGGAGAAGGTTGTGGGCATAAGAAGGACGATGATCGGTAATGATTTGATAAAGGAAAGTGCCTAGGAAATATTGTCTTCTTAAGGAGGGGAAGAGCCACCCTAACTCAGCATATATGGTGAAAAACTCGGAGTCCTTGTTGGACAATGGAATGTTGGGGACGAAATCCTAATTAATGGTACGAAGGTTTTGAGATACTATTATGGTCAGGATTCTTTTCAATAGGATCTCATTATAAAATAAATATTATATAATTATATATTATAAAATTATTATATATCTTTTAAAAATATTTGAAAGGGTAGGGTAATTGGTCTTTTAGATGTCATGCTGTTGAGAAGTTTTTCTGGTTTTGATATTAGTGTAATAGTAGAATGTTTCCATAAAAGTGGAAAATGGATGATTATTAGATGGTATTGTACACGTAAGTGAAGATTATGACAGCTTTGGAAGGAAGTTGTCAAAAGATCTAAGAGGAGTAAGGAGTATTGATTCAGGAGATTTACGGAAGAGTTATTTTCTTAAATGTTTGACCTCAGAAGGATTAACTAGCTTTAGGGGTAAGGAGAGTGGGATGGATGAAGTAAGAAACTCTGCTTTTGCAGTGTGGGCCGGATGGACATACCGGGTGAGAGGTGAATGTATAGGAAAGGTGTTTTTATCTTCATCATACCCTGCCAAGGAGCCATCATCTCGACGGCGAGGATAGGAAATATAACGATGATTTAGGATATTTTAGTGATCTTCGATAGGAAATTGTCATGAATAGAGAGGGAAGTTGAAGATCCATTGGATCTGAAGATGGAAAAAAAATCAAAACTACTGGAATAAAATGCTTTTAATAGTTGTTTTTTAAATATGTTTCCTTGAAACGATGCTTATATTTAATAACAGAATAATATACCTTATAAAATAAAATGTATAATATACCTTATAAAATAATATACCGTAGACAACATATAATTTAAAAAGAGTATATATTGTGACTGTTCAAATCTTTAACTGAGATCACTCACAAAAACAAAAATGGGTTAATGGAAATAACAATATATTTCTATTTTGGGCTGAATCCCCCCATACTGGAAATGTGTAGGTGAATCGAGAATCGAATCAAAGAATCGATTTCTCTGAAAGAATCGTACTCTCATGCACGAGCGGAAGGGGGGCTTTCGGGCTGAAGCGCTCCTCCCAAAATGGTAAAATATAACCATGTTTTATGAAAAAAATTATCTTTAAAAGTATTATTGTTCCTCTAACTACAGTTAATAGGACTTCAACAATCACTTAAAGACCATGTCATATAGGTAGTTGGTTTCTTTCTTTCTTCCGAAGTCATTATACTAACATATTTATACAAAATAAAATCTTTCGGGATGAACACCCCACTCCTAAAATTAAATCTTGGATCGGTGCACTCAAGCAATTCACACGAAAGAATCACGCTTCACTTAGAATCAGTCTATTCAATAGGTATTATTAAAAATAAAAATACAAAAGAGAAAAACATCTCTTTACACATATCAATAAACCAAACAGAGAGAAATAATAAATAAATAAGCAAAATTTAAATGTCAAATTAAATATTTGCATAATAATAGGTAATAAAAATTAAAGTACAAGAGAGAAAAAATAAACAAAGAAAAATCACGAGTTAAAAATATATAAAGTGTGAAAAATTAAATTTAATATTTATATAAATATAATTAACTAAAAATAAAAGTACAACAAAGAAAAATCTGTACAGATATTAAAATAAAACAAACAGAGAAAAATCATGAGTTACAAATATATAAAGTGCGAAATATTAAATTTAATATTTATATAAATATAATTAATTAAAAATAAAAGTACAACAGAGAAAACTCTATACACATATTAAAATAAGACAAACATAGAAAAAATAAACAAAAAGTAATGTAATAATAAACTAAAATATTAATTGGGAAATGAAGAGTAGTTTCGGAAAGTAAACAAAAACTCACCAATTAATGTAATAAAGCTGAAAGATTTTCTAGATCAAACACGGTGAATCGATCCAGTCGTTTATCCGATTCAGCTGGAATCGGAGATTCCCTATTCCTTAGGAATCGGTAGATTTCCGATTCTATTATTATATAAATTTTTAATTTAATGTATGACCATACTCTCATGATTTATTTATTTTGTACTTAATCAATACCAGGATAATACAATTACATAATAGATAATACAAGATAATACAGTTCAATTCATGTACAATTTATATACACAGACCAAAATCTAATCTTTAAAACTAAAAAAAAACAAAAAAAAAAAACAAATGTTCTGTCCAATTTATATTTCCTTCATATTATATTATTATTATAAAAGATTCATGAGTTTTTATTAGTATAAATTTGGGAATTTTTAATTTCAATAAGTTTAAAAAAATAGTTTTTGTCTGAATGATCATAAGATTTGAGAATGTTAGTAACTTATTTTTTTTTTTTAATAAGTTCTTTTTTAATCGTTGAGAATCGATTCAGTTAAAAGAATTTTCCATCTCTGGTATCTACCTACAAGCGGTCTACCTAAAAACTGTATCCTCTTTTTGCCTTTGTACTTATTTTTAGATTATTCAAATATATTTGATTTGCAGTTAAAATAAAACCTTCACATTCTTGAAATAATCTAATATTTCACAGATTGGTCTCGGTTACAATAGTGAAAGATGTTCAAAGCAAGAACTTCCTTCATCTGGTTATGCTTGAGCAATGCCTTGTCGATCGGAGGCTCTGTTCTGGACACCGCCAACTGGATGAAGGACCACGTGACGTTGTTTGGCTTTAGAACACTAAGACAGCTTTGTATCCCCGGATCGCACAACTCCGGCATGAATGAACTCAATGGAGGAACTGCATTTGCAAGGCGTTGCAACACACTAAACCAAAGCCAGAGCGTCCTCAAGCAGCTGGAACTGGGGGTCAGATATTTTGACGTGAGACCGGTCATATCCGGAGGACGTTTCATGACTGGGCACTACACAAAGATAATCTTCAATAGTTGGCAAGGAGGAAATGGACAGTCCATATATTCCATTGTCAGCGACATCAATACCTTTACGAGGTATCACAATGAGCTTATCATTGTCCGGCTGTCTCATACTCTAAATACAGATGTTGGAAACAGAAGATATAGAGGATTCATCAAAGAAGAGTGGGACGGGCTCTTTCGGCTTCTTGATGATACAAACTACATGGTCAAAGCTTCGCCCTACACAGTCTTTTATAAATCAACTGTTGTAGAATTAACAAAAAATGGAACCACAGCTGCTGTTCTGTACATCGTTGACGCCTTGTTCGCTGGAGTGTTTCTTGGAAAACGTGTGGGAAATGGTTATTTTTACAGAGATAGTCTCAACCCCTTCGACAAATTTTCTGATTCAAACAAATTGTCAACCATGTCCCAAGACCAGATTATGAAGATGGAGACTGTGTCACCACTAAAATATTTTCTCCTTTCATGGACGCTCACACAGAGCTATCTTGAAGCGAGTATATGTCCATTAGAAAAGAGCATCTACCAACTGGCCGAAGGAGCGAACAGGAAACTTAAAATGATTTTGTCAGAAGTAACGTGGGAAGCCTTTCCCAATATTATATCAATCGATTTCGTTGAAACTCCGGCATTAGCTGAAATCGTAATGGCCGTTAACAGTAAACTGTTTTAAACTTACTTTTTTTAACTTTTAAGAATCGCATTACTGACTGTGTATGATAATAATAATTAAATATTGTATCTACAAATGAATTATTTTCATTAAAAATATATCCCTTTGGTTTATTATTTTCAATAATGACCCGAGGATGATCCCCCTTCATCGACATTACTATCCGCCTTTTACTTTCAGAATGGCGGCCGAAAAATCTGCGTTGCTATAGACTGTAGCGCCTAAGTCGCCCTTTACATTTATCTATATACTTCAACGAAAAGAAGCTGGAAAAAAAGTTACGAGAGATGGTTAAATTAAATTCCGAATAACTCGAAAAGTTTTTACTTTTTTGTTGATATTGTGAGATGTTTCAAAGGTATTTAAATTTCCCCAAAAAATGAAGGAAGTTTCATCGAAATCAAAGCACTATTAGTAGAGATATCGCGGTTTTTACATATTTTGGTTTATTATTTTCAATAATGAAACATTGTGATCGACCAAAAAATTCAAAAACATAACCCCCTCTCAAAATATGAGATTTCACGTTTCAAGATGCGTGGAATTCGAAAAACGAATAAAATTTTTTTGTCCGTCCGCCGTCCGCGCATTTTCTCTGAAACTACTGGACCGATTTTTTTTTTCAAATTTTTATATAAAATCAGAGGTCACCCGAAGATGATCCTCCTTCATCGACATTACTCTCCGCCTTTAACTTTCAAAATGGCGGCCGCAAAACCTGCGTTGCTATAGACTGTAGCGCCGAAGCGAATGTACCGATTTCAATGAAACTTCGCTAAAGTCATTTTCTTTACGCTATCTATATAACATACTTCAACGAAAAGCAGCTGGAAAAGAGTTACGAGGGATGGTAAAATTAGATTTCGAATAACTCAAAAAGTATACAGAAGAGAAGAATAGTTGATGGGGTGATCAGTCAAATAAGAAGGCAAAAATAAATTATACTATTTATTTTGATATTTGCCGACGTTTCGACCTGAAGTTCAGTTCTTCATCAGGGCTAAGAAAAGAATCAGATAACAAGGTATGAAAAATATAAATAGTGTAGGTAAAAAAAATTAAAGTAAAATGAAGATGTTAGAATAATGACAATAGTAAGAACTAAGAGATAAATAATAATAACCGTTACAAAGTGTGGAATGATGAAGTAAACATAATAAAAAAAGGTGACATAAGTATTAAAATGGGAATCTTAGAAAAAATGTAAAACAGAAAAAAAGGAATATGAAGTTATGTAAGAAATGAAAATAAATAGTAAAATTAAAATATTGCGAATAGAATAGTTAGATACAAATTGAGATATTGTATATCAAGATATACAGACAATGTATAATATAATAAACAGTTAAAACAGAGAAAAGGAATGAAAGGAAGGAAGAAAGAAAGGCCTGAACTTCAGGTCGAAACGTTGCCAAATGTCAAAATAAATAGTATTATTTATTTTTGACTTCTTATTTGACTGATCACCCCAAATATTCTTCTCTTCATTATAAACGACAGTCAACCATTTACCCACAATTACAAAAAGTATACACTTTTCTGTTGATATCGTATTATGTTTTTTTTTTAAGTTTACGAAATTTCCTAAAAAAAAAACTACAAATCCTTTGTTTTGGATTTTGATTTTTGAATTTGTTACTGAAGCAATGATTTTTTTAGTATTTGGAAGTAATCATTGCCAAATAACTAAGAATGTCACACAACTTCCCAGAAAAAAGAAGAGTAATACTTTTTGTTTTTTTAGCAAATTACTAATTATGAAAAAAAATGTTTAGGAAAGTAATTGAAATTGAATTTTTATTTCTTTTAATTTGTCTCTAGTAAGGTAATGTTATTTTAGATATATAATTGTTTGAAAATAATAAACCATTGTGAAATAATTTGCAGCGTTTTTTAGTTAGTTTAATGTATAAGTCATATTTTGGTGAACAGGCAAGTTTGGAGAATCAAAATTTTTATTAGGAAAATAACTAATATTCCTGTTACCAAAAGTATAATTATATCACAGCTTTCCTCAACTGCTCAAGCTATATACTTAAAAACTTTTTTCATTATAATTAAAGAGAAAACAGCTATGAGCTTATTTCAAGTGATACCAAATCACCAGTTTGGCTTTCGCTGTTATCACTCTACTGTACAACAGTGCCATCGGATAATATCACTCCAATCAGTGTTGGGCAAAATTTATCTTAATAAAATATAATAGATAACGAATAATTTATTCGAACTTTTCAACTACAAATAACGAATAATTGTGTTTATCTTTTATCTAATAAATAAATTCAAGTTATTTGTTATCTTTTTATTTGTTATTCGACTTTTTTCAAATAAATTTCGAATAATTTGACGCTAATTTTATTTTTCTTCTACATACAGGCCAATGTGTATATTTTCAGATTCATAGTTTTTGAAAATTATCTCCATTTTAAGATTACACCACTGCATTGCGACTTTTTTTATTTTTTAGGATTTCTTCCATATCAGGGTTTTGGAGGTGATTTTTATGAAAATTCTTTCGGATTTAAGATAGCGCCTCCTTCCCTTCCTCCCCCCTCCCCTCCCCCGAACCAACTTTTTGTAACTATTCAGATTTAATTTATATGAGGGCCGACTAATATGTTTTGGGGGGCCCTTTTTATGAAAATACTGTCAGATTTGAGATATCGCCACTACCAACCTCCCCCCCGTCCTTCCCCCCGAATCGACTTTTTGTAACTTTTCAGATTTAATTGATATGAGGGTCGACTAATATGTTTTGGGGGGGCCATTTTATGAAAATACTGTCGGAATTGAAATAGCGCCCCCCCTGAACCGACTTTTTGTAACTTGTTTGGTTAAATCGATATAAGGGTCGAATATTATGTTTTTTTTTTTTTTTTGAGTTTTTAGGATTTCTTCCAAAGCATATTAGTCGACCCTCATATCAATAAAATCTGAATAGTTACAAAAAGTCGGTTCGGAGGGGGGAGGGCGCTATTTCAAATCCGACAGTATTTTCATAAAGAGGGCCCCCCAAAACCTAATAGTCGACCCTCATATCAATTAAATCTGAAAAGTTACAAAAGTCGGTTCGAAGGGAGGGGGGGGATTCCTATCTCAAATCTGAGTTTTTTTCATAAAAAGGTACCCAAAAAACATAATAGTTGATCCTCATATCAATTAATTTAGGTCTGAATTTCGAAGAAATCCTAAAATTGCAAAAAAGATTATTCGAATCGTATTTTCATCTTAAATAACGAATAATAGATAACAGATAATGAATATTATTTGTAAATAACAAATAACAAATAATTATCTGTCCAAAGATCGTCGAATAAGAAATAACGAATAAAAATTTATCTATTATTCGTTATCTAGATAAAATTTCAAATAATTTATTTAAATAACGCCCAACACTGACTCCAATCCTCTGGTTCTTTCTATCTCCTTCTCCCTGTTACCTCAACAACGCAGATTAAGAAGAAAATGGCCAAGAGACCTACTAAATCAAGAAAAACCAAATCAAGAAAATACAACAAGACAGTACAAACACAACAAATTTGCAAGATGCGCAGCCGCGCAGGTGCAAATTGCATAAAATATAAATAAATAATATTTTATTGCAAAATACACAAAATTACAGTAAAGAAAAAGTTCATTCGCACCATAACAAAATATAAATCATTAAAATAAACTGAAAGGAAAATAACAACTTATCAAATGTATATACTATAAATTATAAGTTAAAATAATACAGATACAACTAAATATACTATTTACATTCAGCCAAGAGAACGTCGTATCAGTTGTGTCCAGCCACCTATGGAGGGAAAAGCAAGACTCCTGGAAATCCCTGGACACTGGTAACAAAGCCAGTGGAGATTGAGCGGGAGCGCTTAGGGCACATACACTCATACCTTGATTGAGGAATCTGGCCATTTTCCACAATGTATGAAATAATATATAAATATTACAAAAGGTCGATGGGCTCAATCTTTGAAGAGGATGGTAGGAATAGGGGGCGGGGTGGCCGAATAGGCTAAAGCGTGTGCACAGCACCGCTAGTTGCCTGGCCACCGGATAACAGAGATTTGAGATGATATAAAAAGTACGAGTTCGCGTCCCGGTGCCGGAGGGGATTTCAAATTCCCCGCCCTCACCCCCCGCCCCGGGAAAATCCCGTATAGCCTAAAAGGCGAGGTAGGGAAGAACAGAGAAAAAAAAAGTATGGTAGGAATAGATAATGCTAAATAGAGATTGCGCAATGGGCTTTGGATGATATGTAAGGTTCCCATATAAGTTTCAAATTTTTTTGGGAATAAGCTCTTAGTCCGTGATGCAGACCCCATTTATCAAACTATCAACATCCGGCTGTGACTTCGTAAATAGCTTCATCTCACCCTAATAACCTCTGCGAGGCAAAATAAGTTTACAACTAAGAAGCAAAAAACACTTTTTTTTTTGTTTATTTAATGAAATTTACAACTGTATACAAATAAAACTAGTAAATATGCGCAAATTATAAATAATGGCATGTACAGGCTTGGAGAGATACTACCCAGTGGTAGCACTCTCTAAATAATTTTAAGTAAGAAGATCACGAGGCCAAAAAAAAAAAACACTTTTAAATCAAAATATTAACATTTTTTATAAAAATTTGATTAGTTCGAAGACTTTTTCATAGCACTGTTTATAGATAAATTATTTCTGAAATTCTCAGTTTTCCATTGAAATATTATACATATCGATTTTGATTCATTCATTTTCAACTTTCAGTTGAATGTTTTCTCATAGCTTATATAGAACTATTTGTTGTACTTACAACAATTATAAACAATTATTTATTTGTTTTAAAAACAACAATATAACAGTTTGGGACTATTTTAATAAGAACACGATTTAACTGACATTAATGGTCAGTCATTTTCGATTAATCGATTTTGGCGAAAAAATACTGTAACATCCCAGGCATATTTTTTACTGGATTATTTATTTATTGATAAATATTACAATCTGTCTCAATAAAGGACATTTATAATAGAATTCTGAGAGCACATTCACACCATATTTACAAATTCAAAATAAATAAGGTAATTTCAAAATAATATAAAGCTAAATAAGAACAAAATAAGATATCATAGTGAAGAAAGAAAATATAAATAATAGTAATAATAGAATAAAAATAAATGAATAAAATAGAATTAAAATTATCATTAAAAAAAAGTAATGAAAATAATATCTTAGACGCAGGCATACCTATTTACACTATTTACAGTCGGCTATGGGAACTCCGAACCTGTCCCCCCACATCTGGAGGGAAAGCTAGTCTTCAGGAGATTCTTGCGCTTCTTCCTCAACCACTTCACTGGTATTAAAAGCCAGCGGAGATTGAGTATGGGCGCTACAACCACAGACACTCATAACTTGAGTGGAGAATCTGGCCATTGCCAGAACGTGTTACGTAATACATGTTACGAAAGGTCACGGGGCCACTGCCGTTTTAGCCTGCGATGAGTGGTGCTAGATAGGGATTGTGCTGCGGGATTAGGGTGATGGGTAAGATTCTGATGAAATTTGGAGAATTTGTCTGGGATAAGATCATGAATAAATGGAATATTAAGGTCATTATGCAGGGTTTTATTGGTGACATAGAAGGGAGCATCGACTATTGTGCGGAGGACTTTGAACTGGAAGGATTGAATGCGTTTGATGTTAGAAAATTTGGTTGTCCCCCACAGTTCTAGTCCGTAAGTCCAGATGGGTTTTAGTATTGTCTTGTAGATCAGTAATTTTTTTTTCAGTAGAAAGTTTAGAATTTCTATTAAGTACTCTATATAGCTGGCCATAACGTCGGTTAAGTTCCTGTCTTTTCAGTCGAGTATGCGGATTCCACGTTAGTCGTCTGTCTAGGAGAAAACCAAGGTACCGGACTGTAGAGAAGGGAAGCTGGATGGAATTAAAGTAAACTGGTGGACAGGAATTGCGACGACGGGTGAAGGTTACATGTTTACATTTGGATTCATTGACTTTGATGTGCCATTTCTTGCACCAGTGTTCAATCAGGGATAGGTGCCGTTGCAGGTTTATGGACGCTGTTTCAGGATCTGAGTTAGAAGATAGAAAAGCAGTGTCATCAGCGAAAGTTGCCAGGAGTGTATCGGGATGGACGGGAATGTCAGCGGTATAGATGATTTAAAGGATGGGACCCAAGACGCTGCCTTGAGGAACTCCAGCGTCAATTGAGTAACAGTCGGAAAATTCTGTACCACAGCGAACTCGAAAGGAGCGGTCGTAGAGGTACGATTGGAGTATTAGATATAAGGAATGTGGTAGATGGGATTTGAGCTTTTGACTCGGTCAAAAGCCTGCGTTATGTCCAGGAATGCACTCGCGCAAAACTGCTTGTTTTCTAGGGCTGAGGATATGTGGTCAACAACTCGGAGTCCTTGTTGGACGGTAGAATGTTGGGAATGGAATCCGAATTGATGGGTAGGGATTTTTTGGGAATCTATTATGGGTAGGATGCTTTTCGGTAGGATCTTTTCAAAATTTTTTTAAAGAATTAGGAGTAGACTAATTGGTCTTTAGGATAATGTATTATAGGGAGGCTTGCCCAGGCATATTAAATAAGTATTTATTAAATATTACTTTAAATACTTACTTTCAATTTTCTACGAATTTACATTTTAGAACTAAAAACAAGGGCAATAAAATTAACATATTCTTTAAAAACTTCGAAAATCGAAATTTTCCACTATCGCAATATTTTTCCATATTATATATTCATTATGAAAATAAATAAAAGTAATACAATTTTAATAAACTATTTCAATAAATAGTGGTTAACATCTTAAAAGACTTTAATATTTAACATCGAAAAAAGTTATAGTATTGTTTATATGAAACACGCATCTCAATTTCATAATATATTTTTGAAATTTAAATTCATGATAATCAGAAACATGATGGTCATTTGGCCAAATAGTATTCCTTATACAGATTAATTTAAAATTATAATATGGCGATGGTCTGTAAATATTTTAAGACGGTCTTTTAATTATATCTTGATAATTTTAAAAGCCAGACAAATAATAATAATAGGTCTATTACAATCAGGTGTGTGATCGAATTTTTTAGATTCATTAATTCAGAAAATATTTTTATTGAATAGAAAATTTAACAGTCCTGAATATATTGTTCATTGTTGTAAGAAATTTTTTTTCTGTTAAGAAAAGTTTTTTTTTTGGAAATATAGTGGGGCATCTTAACAGTTCCAACTCGTAACCTGAAGTCTTGGTGAAGAATAAAAAACTGAAGAATAATTTTATTTGAGAAATAAATTGCGGTCAAATAAATACTAAATTATACAAATAGTATTATTTAATTTTTTTTGCCGACGTTTCGACCACAATAACTATATAAGAAAAAAATTGTAAGAAGAGAAATTGATACTGAATGTCAATTGTCATCTATATATAGTACAACTTGTTTTTTATCATCATAACCTTGTTTTATATTTATACTTACATTCTAAATTTCTCTTCTTAAAATTATTTTTCTTATATAGTTATTGATACTTAATAATATATCCTAACGATATTCTAACTAATGTTATCCTATTAATCTTTCAATTTCTTTATTTCTTATCCTTTAAGCCCATTATCTGTTTACCTACAGTTATCAAATGTAACCTCCACTAGCTTATCAACTGATATCTTATTATTATGTTATCTTATTCTTATTTTAGCTTTATTACATCAATACTTATTCAATTTCCAATCTCTTTATTCGTTAACATTAATTTTCTTCATCTGTTAACCTACAGTTATCAAATGCAATCTTTATTAGTTTGTTATACACTCATTCCTTATCTTTTAAGGCAATCTGTTTACTTTTAACTTACATGCTATATTCTCCTTTATTTCTATTTTTATTCATACTTATTTTCCATTTTTGTTTCTATCTTCTATATATATATATAATACTTGATATTTTAACTACATTATCACTCACTTTATCTCTGATATCATCTTTTTATTTCTTTATCATACAACTTTTTCTTATTTTGTATCTACTTATATTCATTTATTTTATTTTCACTTGTTTTGTATCTTTTGTAGCCCTGATGAAATCCTGCAAAGTGAGTCGAAACGTCGGCAAAACAATTAAATAATACTATTTGTATTTAGTATTTATTTGACCGCACCGCTCCCTCACCCTCCCTCTCCTCCCCCCCCCCCCCGTTCAACTCCTCATATTATATTACCGTCAACCATCTCTACATCATTGTAATTTTATTTAATTGAAAAATAAATAAAGAATTGTTATCGTTCTTGAAATAGTTTACTATTTCACAGATTGGCCTAAGCTACATCGGTGGAAGATGTTTAAGGTACGGACTGCTTTACTTTGGCTAAGCTTCGACGTCGCCCTGTCTGACGCAGTCGCTTACTTAGACGCTGCAAACTGGATGAGGAGTAACATCGAGTGGTTGGGCAAGAGGACACTGAAGGAGATCTGTTTACCAGGAACACACAACTCCGGGATGAGCAAATTATTCGGAGGGACATCATTCTCGAAGACTTGCAACAGCGTGAACCAGGGCAGGAACATACGCAGACAGCTGGATCTAGGAATCAGATTCTTCGACGTGAGACCGGTAATAACCACTGGAGGAGTCTACAGGGTTGGCCACTACAGTAAGATATTTGGTAATGTTTGGCAAGGCGGATATGGACATACTATAGAATCAATCGTACTTAACATCAATGCCTTCTGCAAAGATCATTATGAATTGATTTTCTTCCGTTTGTCCCATTCGCACAACACGGAAAAAGAATACAGCTCTTTCACCCAACAAGAGTGGAACAATCTTTTCCAGCTTCTTAATAAGACAGAAAATCTATACCATGCTACAGAAGACACCTATTTTCCGATAACGACTTTGGAAAAATTTACGAATAACGGAACAAAAGCTGCAGTTATTTACATCGTAGATGAACCCAAGTATAAAACCAGCCTCGGAGACTACACAGGAAAAGGTTTCTTCTACAAATTCAGTCTTAAAATATTTGACAAATATTCGGAGACGGACAAGGTAGATTTCCTGTTCATGGATCAGACCGCTAAGATGAAGAAAGAATCAGAAAAAAGGTACTTCCTCCTATCTTGGACACTGACCCAGCAAGCGGTTGATGCAACCATGTGCCCGGCGATGGGAAAGACCATCAAAGATCTAGCTTTTCAGGCAAACAGAAGGCTGAAAAATATATTATTGAAAATAACAAAAACGATATATCCTAACATCATATCCATTGACTACGTTGATAACACTGAGCTGGTGGAATTAGTAATGGCTGTCAACCTTAAATGGCTTACTGAAAAGTAAGGAATAAAATAATATAAATTAGTAAAAATTCATCACGAGACAGAAGTTCAGTTTAATAATTGGAAAAATTCCAACCACAAAGCCGTATTTCTGTAAAATGCAGTTTTTTTTTTTTTAAATTGTCAATGTTTCGTCAATTTGGGCATCATCAGAACAGAAATGTGAATTATTTTTATTCTGAAATATTGAACGTCTTGGATAAGTTTAATATATCTAGCTAGTTTTGTTTTAAATTCATTTGCGTTATCAGCTCTATTTGATAATAACTTTCCTTTAATGTGTATTTTCATTATTTATTTATTTTTGTCGTTTCGTTATTATAATTATACTTTATTCATCTTAATTTTTTTGATACATCAATTTAGGTTGCATATTATATGTTTTTTCATCTGTCCTTTTTTCTTCAAATCAGCTGTTCAATTATAACCTTCGTTAGCTGGGTTGCCAATGTGTAACAGTTTCTGCTATATTCAAAAAACAGTTTAAAAAAAAACAGATAAGACTGTTTCAAAACTTACTTACTTACTTAATCAAGTCCTCTCTTACCGCTGAGCAGTGAGGTTCCTTTTTATAGAGCTTGATCCAAGAATCTCTATCCTGGGCCAGCTGTCTTCTCCTACTCCAGTAACTTTGATTCCTTCTTCCCATATTTTTCTTGGTCTTCCCTTCGGTCTCCTTCCCTCCACTTTGACCTCGTAGGTAGCCTTGGCAACTCTGTTTTCAGCCATTCGCGAGACATGTCCAAACCACCTAAGTTGGTTTTCTTGGATTATCTCCTCTGCAGGCCTCAGGTCCATATCAGCTCGTATGGTCACATTCCTAATCGCGATCTCTTCTTGTTTTCCCCTTTATTTTCCTTAAATATCGCATTTCCACAGCTTGGATTTGGCTTTTGTGCTTGGAAGTGAGGGTCCAAGACTCGCTTGCATATGTTAATATAGGGAGGAAGTATTCTTAGTGACCTTTGAGACTTCATTTTTGACCTAGAAGTATGATTTGAGGGAGTAGAAACATTTTCCTGCCGTCTTAATTCTCTCTTTTATGTCTCCATCAATCCATCCGAACTCGTCGAGGTGAGCACCCAGATATTTAAAATCCATTACTTGCTCCAGACGGATTCCACCCAACCGAACGATCCGGTCTCCTCGGTCCCTTCTTCTCCCAATCCTCATAAATTTTGTTTTCGAGATGTTAATTTCCATGTTTATATTCATCATCTCAGCATGAAGGATCTTGAGGTTAAACCGCAGATTATGGCAGTCATTTCCGAACACCACCATATCGTCAGCAAAATCAAGCACTGTATACTGGACGCTCTGTAGGTTCCTATATCCGAGGTTGTATGGCCTCATTTTCTGTTTTGCTTGTTTTAGGGCAGAGTTCAGCACTATTATAAACAATAGGGGGCTAAGGCTGCATCCCTGTTTGATTCCTTGATCTGTTGAGAATTATTTTGATGTATGGTTGCACATCCTAACAACATTTCTCTGTATTTCATATATACTTAGGATGGCTTTTCTCAATCCTATATGAACGCCACACTCCTCCAATGCTCTTGATATGTCTGCCTTCTGCACCTTGTCAAACGCTTTATTTAGGTCTACGAAACAGCCTAAGACCTCTCTGCTCTTCTCTATAATCTTCTCGGATATTTGATAGTTATTTTAAATACACATGAATATAATTTTTATCTACAAAGTAATTATCGATTTAATTTTTAAAGTTTATTATATTTTTAAAATATATCAACTGTGGGGGAACATTTTTATTATAATTTCTGTTGCAAGTCAAACTAGCATTAATATTTAACCTCCCAAGCTTTTTTTTAAACTTTTTTATGTATATATATATATTGCTATGTTCCTTGCCTCGCGTTTCTATGGCGAGTAGGGGATTCCAGGAACCGCATTTATTTGTATTTAATACTTATATTGGTATTTATATCGGTCCCAGAAGGGAACCGATCTACCGAAAAATATATTAATTCTGTATTAAAAGGTTAGATACCACAGACCCCCTACTGTAGTATCCTAGATTGAACCATATAATTTTTATTGGATTTCTTTTCTAGAGGTATCGTGTTTTTAAATTTACCATTTGTTTCTATTACTAATTGGTGGCATGCAAGGTAGATGGTAAAAGTACTAAGATGGTTTACTAACTATTATATTTACAAATTCAAATAACCAAAAACATATATACAATAATATTAGGAGAATCATAGCAGAGGAGAATGCTATTTACAAATTATTTCTGATAATTGGTTGCCAACACGAGTTTACATCATTATTACTAAATGAGGGTTATTACCTAGCTGGTTCTTCATCATCTTCGAGTCTCCTTCCATGTCGCTCTCCTCAGCGTCTAGTCCGTCCATCCGCTCCCTCCGGCTGTGTCCTTGCCTGAGTCCCAGCTACAAGTCCATATCTTGCTCTCTCCGTCTCTCCAGATCAAGTGTCTCTCCCCCAGGCCAAGGTATTCCAGCAGGTACAGATTTAAGTATTTCTGGTGGAAGGTGTGAAAGATCTTTCTGGAAGGTGTTAATGGTAATTTGGATCCTGTTTAAACACTCAGGCATGAGACTGTTGTCGGTCTTGGTCGGTGGTTCTTAAGGGTTTTTATTACCACTTACAAAAGGTTGGGCTCGTGGGTCGTTACCCTCGCTCATGTACCCAACCGCCAGGTGTGAACAATTATGATATTTATACATTTAAAATAATTAAGTAAACTTCACAGGTGGTCTTTAGAATACATAGCAATATATATATATATATATATATATATATATATATATATATATATATATATATATATATATATATATTGAAATTTACAACTGCATCAGTTAACAAATACAACAAATCTATTTGAATCGGTAATATGACATGTAAAAGATGAAGAGAAAATACTACTAAGTATGTAGATGGTACAGTGAGGATCCAGGAATTTTCTCAGGGGAGGGAAGCGAAGCTCTGTACCATGTGCTTTCCCCACCACTACCCGTTCCCCCACCACTACCCATCCCCCCCCACTCCTTAGCTGAGTTTCGCCGCTCAAAACTCCTCTTTAATTGTTTTTGACAAAAGCAATCTCTATTTTTATTTAAAGTAAATTTTGTCGATCTTACAGTGAAGCAGTTGGTAATTATTTAAATTAAATAGTTATTTAGTTATCACTCTATATTCTATAAAAAAACGTGACACTTAAGACATCACAAAACTTTAATTTCCTACTTTCATGCTGAAAATCGAACCATTGTTTATATAAACTTTTTTGTATTTGTTGAGTTCTGCTATCACTCATTTAAATATTTCCCTCTTTTTATGGGAGACCCTGGGTTTAGACTTGTAAAAAAAATTGCTAACAAGGGTCACCAAGAGAAAACATTTACAAGAGAAAAATCCAGATTTATCTATAAAGCGAAAAACGTATTCTTTAAGGAATTAAAGAATTTTAAATTGTGCCTCGAACGAATACCTAAACTTTGTAATTTGATTAAGTGATATGGTCGATAACCACAGTAAATGAATGTTAATTTTAACAATATTGTCAAAATCTGAGACAGATTCCTGTAAATGGCCCTGCAGCTTGGAAATGAGTTCTCTAAGAAAAAAAACTCAGAATAATTTCCGTATTCTCATGAAAACATTCCCATCAGCATTTATTTTAAGAAAATAACAACACTTTCTAATGGGAAATATACAAATTATTATCGTGACTAGTTTTTTGAATCGCAAAGTATTTGAATAAAAGGTTGTTCGAAACCATAAATGAAGTTCTTATTTTTTAAAATTAATTTACCTCCATGATACATTTCACCTGCGAGACTCAGTTCGGAGCCAGAGCAAATTGCGACAGGAGCAGAAGCCTTCGCATCTCACGGCGGCCCAAAAACAACATCTCTTCACACATCCAAGGCAACTTTTGCTCTTACATTCTATTCTTTGTTTCACAAAATCTAGCCAAAGTCCGGGCGCAAATTGAGGATGAGCTTTCCCTATATATCCCTATATTCCCCTCTTTTCATCAAACAGTTTTGAACATCAAACATAGTTTTCGAAAGAGAGATCCTTCGGAAGATATTCGGCCCAGTTAAGGAGAATGACAAATGGAGAATTAAACACAACCAATAACTAGCCAACTTATACAATAAGCCGGATTTGGTGAAACATATCCGGATAGAAGGTTGAGATGGGAGGGCCAATTTGTACGGATGGACAAGACCTCAAACCCGAAGAAATCCTGATGTGCTTGGAGTGCGGTAGGAAAGAAAAGAAGGCAAACCGAAACTGAGCCAGGAACTGGTGGAGGCTGCTCGAGACAGGGAAACGTGGAGTAAATCTCTTGAGATAGCTAAGATCCAGTAATATATTGTCGGGCTCGTGATGATGATGATCGCATTAGAAAATTCGTCTTAGATGATGATTTTTTCATATATTTCTCGTTTCTGTAAATTGTTGTTTTTAGATCTTTTTTCGGAATTATTTTTCCACCATTCAGAAGAAGGCGCACCACCTGGCATAAATCACTAGTGCTGTTAATAATAATTTTGTTTTATATTACATCAGAAAATTAGTCTATGGAGATGAATTTTGTTATATTCCTGTTTTCTTTAAATAGCTGTTTTTGGAACTTTTTTATTAACATCTATGGGAGAGAGAGACGCGCCCTTATGCTGGATCCACTAGTACTGGGCACGATATATTTTTTTTTTTTTTATATTACATCAGGAAATTCGTCTATGAGGATGAATTGTCCCTATATTTCTCTTTTCTTTTTTTTTAAATTTTTTTTTTCAAGCTTCCAGAGAGAGGGGGCGCCCTTTGAGTTTGAACAATAGTCCCGATTGTAAGACTATCAAACGCCGACTCCCCTGGAGTACATTTCACGTTCCACTGCAGTGGGGACTACATCTACAATGATATTGCTATATAGTGGAATGAGATGTGCGGAATTCATATTGGTGATCTGGGATTATGTGATTAGTATCTAGGAT